GGACACAACCCTGTGTACCCTGTGTACCCATGTATACCCTGTGTACCCATGTATACCCTGTGTACCCTGTGTACCCATGTGTACCCTGTGTACCCATGTATACCCTCTGTACCCTGTGTACCCTGTGTACCCATGTATACCCTCTGTACCCTGTGTACCCATGTATACCCTGTGTACCCATGTTTACCCTGTGTACCCTGTGTACCCTGTGTATCCATGTATACCCTGTGTATCCATGTAGACCCTGTGTACCCTGTGTACCCATGTATACCCTGTGTACCCATGTATACCTTGTGTACCCTGTGTATCCTGTGTACCCTGTGTACCCTGTACACAATTGCACTGGATACCAATAAGACAACAACTGTACTACCATAATGCAATTTTGGCTTTCAAATGCATAACTGGGTGCGCGCCTGAGGCCCTGACTTCACTTTTTGTTCCAAGATCAAAAATCTCAACACGTTCAACAAGGAACTCACAGAAACTACAGATCCCACTTTGCAAGACAGCAACCGGTCAAAGATCTTTCCACTATAGAACTGTTAGCCTCTGGAACGGTCTGGATACAGAACTGAAACTTGCTGCGAACATTGATAAGCTTAAAAGAAAACTCAAGTCTTTGCTTATTTTTGAATTTTTGAAATCTGATTAGTACTTCTGATTAGAATATCTATTTTTTTTTAACCAATCGTGTACATATGTTTTTATATATATTCTTAGATTATATTATATTAGATGTTGTGATTAATTAATTTTATTTGAATGTAGAGTCAGTAATTTTTATATTGTTCCTGAAAAGCCCCATTGGGGAGGCGACAATAAAGTAAGTATGTATGTATGTATATCAATAAAACTGATTAACACTTTTATTTGATATGAATATTAATGTACACTATTTTGTATCCATTAAAAAGGCTTCTACTTTAAGGTACTTCTTTGACCTTGCTTTGCCATGTTTCCTTATTAAGTAACTAATTAACAATTATTCCACGAGCGCGCGTTGGATATGAGATGATAGATAGCCAACGAGGCGCGTAGCGCCGAGTTGGCTATAATCATCTCATATCCAACAAACGCGAGTGGAATAATTGTTTTATTAAAAAAACGCCCCCAAGCTATTAGACAAATCTTCTCGACTTTATTTTGTGAGAAGAAACTGGATTTAACAATGTACAGAAATTAGATTATGGTATATTGGCTCATATGCCATAATGGCTGAGCCAATAAAAAGTCTTGAATTGCATTATCCAATGATCCAGTTTTTAATAATTAAAAATATATATATATTAATGAAAGTAACAATATTAATTTTTATAAAATTTGTTTCTCTGCAGCTATTGGTTGCAAGCATGGATGCTGGGTACAGTTATTCCTGTCAAGAGCTTTCAATGTCTTATGAGCCGAAAGAAATGAGGGTATGTGATTCCCAATTGTTGTGGGGAATAAACAGTTGATCAGTTCTACTCATTTTTATGCCAAAAAAGGTAATAATTTAGAGTACTTGACCCTAGATTGAAGAGACTAATAATTTATGGAGACAGGATGGGAAAAAAAATCAAACTCCACCTACAAGGTGTATCCTAGACCTCTCTCTGCCCAGTTGTATAAATAATTGGTATAGGTGAATTGTCAGGGAAGACTGACAAAATGCTTGGGGGTAACCCGTGATCAAGGGCCATAGGGGTCCTGGAAAAACTGGCGAGTCCTGGAATTTAATTTTTGACATTTTCCAGGACTGGGAAGTCCTGGAAAAAGACCACAGGTTCTGGAAAGTCCTGGAGATCTGTTTAACTCTAAGTAATAAAGATTTCAGAATTTATGTCATACTTGAAATGTAGGGAGACCATAAAGAGCATTGATTTTGAAATCTTGAAATGGTTGTAGGTGAAATCTGGAGCCCTGGAAAAATCAATCTGAGTCCTGGAATAGTCCTAGAAAAGTCCTCGCAACTTGTCTCTGAAAAAGGGTACAATTAAACCCCGTGTGATGGATAAGCATTCTTTCCAAAAGGGGAGGCAATACTCTTACTCACTTAATCTTAAAGAAACCAGTATAAACTCTGGCTGGAAGGGCCACGTGGCTGGAGTACAGAATTGGGAGACAAACTGTTTTAATTACCAGTACTTTTTTTTCTGGCTTACTGACTCATTCATCTCCTTTTCAAAGATTGCCTCAGTTCTTTGGTGGTTTTATTTCTCCAAGATTGTGGAGCTTTTTGACACTGTAAGTTGATGCCAATGTACCTTAATCCTTAACTCCCAAGATCTGATTGTTAATTCTCCCCTCTCGTAGCTACACATTTTCTTGTAAATTAGTTATGAGAATTCTTCCTTATAAGTTTGAATTTTCTCATTACCTGTTTGCTGGATAATGTGTGAGTATTAAAGGGAGAGGTTACATATTAATCACTTCTGTGAGTTAAAGGGTTAAGGGGCTCTTTGCAGGATTGTGGGTAATTATAAGTAATTTACCCCTGGACTGGCATCATGGGTCTAGCCATTTTGTCTTGTTTTATCACTTATAATAACGAGCTTCTTGTTCTAGCTACAGTGTACAGTGTATAAACTTAAGCAAATTATCAGGATATGCAAAGTCATCAAAATAATCAAAATCATTCTTGTTATTTTTCATCAATATTTTGTTTTCTGCAATGTAAAGGTTATATTCATTTGAAAGGCTGCATTTTGTTAGACAGATGACAGTTTGATCTGATATAAATTAAAGAAGTACATGTAAAACCTCAGATGTTGTCAGAAATTAGTTAGTGGTCAAACAACCTCTTTTAGCCATTCTGCATCAACACTTTTCATATCAGTACTATATAATTGTGTTTACTTTTTTTGGTAGATGTTTTTCCTCCTTCGTAAGAAGAATACCCAAGTGTCTTTTCTTCATGTCTATCACCATACAACAATGGTTTGTCTGTGGTGGATTGGTATCAAATGGGTGGCTGGTGGACAGTGTAAGTTACCAGTGCATCTCATAGGGATGATTTAGTAGACATACACGACATGCAATAGACCACACTTTCTATTGCTTACAGGCATAACAACCCATGCAGGGTGTTGGAGAGAAACCACCATCCCAAACCACCATCCCAAACCACCATCCCAAACCACCATTCCAAACGGGTCATTAAACGCCAGTGTGCAGATAGAAAGTGTGGTCAATTGGTTTAATGAAGTACACTTAAAATGTTTCAATATTTGGGGGGTTTACCGGTGCAATTAACTATAGGTTTTTACCAATCAGGGTGCTTGTAGTATACTGGTATGTGTTATTTTACAAGTATTCACTCAGGGGAAATAGTCTGGCAAGAATTAAGGACTTAAAGAATAGCCTCCATTAGGCATCATTGAAATTTAATGCTTGTTTTTTTGCCCTTAGACATTATCTATTCCAAAAAGCAAACAGTTTTTGTCCATGCTAGGCAAATATCAAGTAAATTATCACATTTTAGTAGAGACTGTTGTGTTGATATTATCCCTCAAAAAAACATTTACAAATACACCACTTTGATTCATAAATGGCTGCCAGATTGATATTCTTTTGTTTAAATTCAAGTTGGCCTCACTAGCCTCACTTGAGATAATGCATTCTTTGAATTTCGAACTGGAGAACGAGGCCAGAGAGGCTAATTTAAATTTAAACAAAAAAATATTTATCTGGCAGCCATTTATGAAAGTGGTCTATAGCTCAGGTGTATATGTATCAGGGTTTTTGATGTGGCTTCATAAACAAACAAGTTTATTTCTCTAGTTATACAATAGCAACAAACTTCTTTCCATCTTAAATAAACTTTTAAATGAAGACTTTCAACACACTCAGAAAGGTTAATTGACCATAGGGGTATGTCACCAGAAGTAACATTTGGTATTCCCTATATTTGGGCAGGTGATGCTGTATTTAGACCAAGCAAAAATATTTACACCTTGTAAAAGAAAAGATAGGCCAAGACAAATTTATTATCCCAAAGGTTTTACAAAAAATTGTGCTATTTTCAGAAAAATTAAAGGGGGGGGGGGTACAGGTGCTCTAAAAACAAGTATTTAACACTTGATACATGCCAGTTTCACTACATACTGAGTTTTCTAAGTTCAAGTTTGCTATACATTTGCTTCACTTACATGTTCTCTTACTCTAGGTATAAATTTAGCTCAAAGAGAAAATCATGAGGCAATATTCAGAAAAGGCAGTTGTTAATGTTGTTCCTGTGCAAACCATGGTATTTCTGTTAGATGTGTTGTGAAATTAAATGTTTGCATTGAATTGAGCGTGCTATGTAGCAAACTGCATGTTCTATGTGGTTAATGTGTAGCAAGCTCAAACAGGGCATGGACAAAACGTGGGATAGGCCATGGCCGGCCAGTGGCCTACCCTGTGGCTTACCCTGTGGCTTACCCTATGGCCCACCCTATGGCCTACTGGTGGTCAGATATTTAAAAACATAAAAATAAAACCAGTAAGAGTCGAACAAGTATGCTGGTGTACAATTCTATGCCTCGAAAATGGTATACTAAAGAGTCACTAACACTATTTTCAACGTCTGAGGGAACAAGACAATGCAAATAAATTATTACAGGTTAAAGGGGAGGGGAGAGGAGGGGCCAATATTGCATGGTCGCTGAGTATATCCAAAATGGCGGCTTCACAATCCATACAGGCTGCCAGCTGGTAACATATAGCGGAGTGCTAGTGCAAAAATGTAATGAACGGCATTATATCGGACAACATATCCAAGTAGGAAATGCAAACAGTATGTGCTAGGCCAATTTTTTAAGTACCTCTTTAGTGCTGTGGAAATCAATTTGCAACAAGCACCCCAGCACATGCAGGCATTGCCATCATAAACATTTCACAAACTTTACTTGCTTTTCCTAAGAGAGGGCCAGTATTGCACTAGTTTGGAAGGAGAGCTGATATGATGATGTTTGCCCAAAAGTTGCATTTAACCGGCTTCTGTTCCTCAATTTCCTTGTCCTATCAGAAGGTTAAGAAATTTTGATTGAAATGTGGATGCCAAAACAGCAGAAGAAAGTTGTTGGTAATTAAGGCAGTTCCCAGGAAAACGTTGAAAGGTTTGCAGCAATGCTATATTGCTTTTAAAAATCTGACCACCAGTAGGCCATAGGGTAGGACATGGCCTAGCCCACATTTTGTGTCCACACGCACTCAAACATAGCAAACTCTAAATGTTCAGAAAAACTGGCTGTTACCTAACACTCAATTGACCTCATAGAAGAGATTAACATGGGATTGTAAGAAAAATGCAAGAAGTTGTAAGAAATTCATGGCAGACAGTGGGCAAAATTGATATCAAGATATTGGGAATGAAAAGTTCGTAGCCTTGTCTCTTGAATGGATGTTCATGTATTGTTTGTATGGACTGACGTCATTTCCTCACTACATTTGCAGAAGTGCTTAATTTGTTACTTCTTCCACTAATATATCTGCACATAAATCCACCTAACAAATAATGACAATGCATATAATTATCTTATTAACCAAGCATGAGGGCAGTACTGGGAGAATATCGGCCCGAGGTCTTGACAGTATGGACCGAGCACAGCAAGGTCCCTGCAAAAAAGACAGAGGGCCAATATAGATTCTTCCAGTACAGTCCCGAGCAAGCTTGGTTAGTAAGAGATTGATTATACGACTGAAGTTCAAAGGGACACAAGTGCGGTATCATTCAGGACCATTCGGGACAGTGCCCGGTCCAATACTTAGAGAATATTGACCAGCAATAGAGCATTTTGATTGGTTGATTTTAGTTATTGGCCCTCTGACT